ATATATATATATATATATTATATTTATTTATATGTATATAACCCTAGGATAAAACAGAATGGGAAACCAATTAACTTACACAGGCTACCTGCTAAACTAGTTTAAACTAACAGCTAAAAAATAAGAACTAATTAACAACTTAAATAAAATAACAATTAATCAAAGGACAATGGAATATTGTAATACTTATGTAGGATAATCTACATCGGTTCTAGAAGGTAATCTACATCGGTTATAAAACCGATGTAGAATAGAACGACGTAGAAAAAAAACAAATTTACATCGGTTATAAGTAAAACCGATGTAAATTTTACCACTATTCTACATCGGTTATACCAACAACCGATGTAGAATATGTGTGAAAGTCACACAACTTGGCGCTGGTTCCAGAAGATGGAATAGGTGTGGAAGTCCTTGGTGGGGTCGAACCAGAGGTTGAGTCTCTGCTCCCTGTTACCTACTCCATTCACGTACACGTTCGTTTGGACCGAGTAAGGTTCACCAGTGGTGTTGCCCAGGAAAAATCAAACTCGTTGAGACTTGGGCCGTTTGATAACATCTGCATCACACAAATTGAAAATGAACTTCAACGTCTTAGTCATTTAATATACCATCAATTATTGGACTAGGGTCACCATCCCTTGTCAAGGTCATAAATATAGGTCAATACAAAGTGGAATAAATTGCACAGGATTGTTAGGTTGATCAATGTCAAAATGAAGGGATCTCATTGTAGTTTAAAATATGAATCTTAAATAATTCTAAATCCTCTCTTTATAATGCTTCTTATTTTTAAATATGTCCACTGTTAGATTTAATATTTATTTAAAAGATATTATGAGAATTTGCAAGAGGATAGAATGATAGTAAGGTATAAAGCTATAGTTAAAAAATAGGTTCGTGGCTTAAAATATGGAGACAGATATACAGAGACAATAAATGCAAGAATCAATTGGATGTGCAAATTCACGGGTTGAAATGAAGTAGGTAGTTGTCACTAATGCCTCTGGTATAAGTCAATTCAAAGAGTTGTCTGCACTTGAAAATAATTTCTACTTAAAAAAAAAAAAGATTAATTTTTCACTTACATAGAAAGCAGTAACAGTTCCAGCAGAGTCACCCTCCACAAGCTTGAGCTGGATGGTCACTTTCCCAAACATATACTTGCTCTTGGATCCAAATCCAGCACCTGCAATGTCCCAAAAAAAGCCACATTTTTTTAACATAAATTAACAAAAATAACATTTTGCAATGATATTAAATGAGCTATTTAGAATCAGATCTAACAAAAAACAGTCTAAAATTAGACATGATGGCATTCAGTTTTGAGAGATCTCAAACAATAACCTTACTGAAAAGGGTTTCAAAGGTAAGAACATTATACAAATCAGTAAATGGCAAATTACCAAGGGGATGAATTTTATGCAAGTGAGAAGTGAAGTGAAGTAAAGCGAGTAATTTAAATCCAAGATTTCTATTGTTCATTAGATTTCTTATTCTTGATACAGTGGACAATTTTCCCCTATTAAGTATTAACACAATTATCATGTTGCCAACTTTATTTTCTTCCATAAAATAATGTGTATCAAATCAAGCACAGTTGGATGATCAAACAAAAGCAAACTTCATTTTTAAATTATGTCCAGAAACAAAAAAATGCCATCCATTTAAGAAAATTAACCAATCTATAGCAACTGAAACAGCAAAGTTGAAACAATTGTGATATTTACCTTCTCAGGTCGTGTCTCCACCTTGAATCGAATTAGACCTAGACAGAGGAGAAGAACTACAGCCAAAGATGAAAGCAACACCATAATTGGATGTCTAGCTACATATGATCCATATTTCCTGATCATGTTTCAAACATGAGTTCAGATGACATTCTATCTGGGATGAGATATATGTTGACAGCATAGGCAGTAACCTGTAAAAATTTGTCATATATCCTTGCACAGCAGAGAGCCGGACACCATTTCTGTTTTGTGGAACATCTTGCATCATCTTATAATCAACATCAGTCAAAACAAAGTCAGAATATAGAACAAGCATACATGAGGAAGGAAAGGAAACAAAACTTATATTTTTAAGAGAAAAAAAAATTAAGGAAAAACAGTTCTCACAAACATGTTTACAATGAAGAAATTGCGTACATACATGAATCTGCATCGGGAGGTTTTCATCCTTCTCCCTATTATGAGAATACAGGGCACCATCATTAATCACATTAGACACTGATTTTATTCTGTATGTTGGTTTTCTTTCCCTTACTCGATGATACAATCCCCAACCCAAGAAAACACAAATAAGTATAATGTATAAGACTGTTAAAATCAAGTCAACACACTTCACCTACAATTCCAAAAGGTAAAAACCATGTTAGTTAATAATACAGAGTAGGCTCCTCAAACCACATTTTATTCATCATGAATGGAAAAAAATACACCCGGTAAATATCATCATGAATGGAAAAGAATACAAACCAAGAACTCTAATGCATCCATGATCCATCTACTTCTCACTCTTAATATGTGCATGCCAGTATACACAGGGCAACGAGAGATTAATTAAGGAGAGGCCTTGTGCATATATTCAGTAATATTTTTGAGCACCAGCCCCAATAAATTGTAGAGCCCGAGAATTCATAGTGCCAAATTTTACCTCCTTGCAGGATTCGTATAACCCTTCACCAAAAGCATCAGTCACAAAATAGTCAATCCCACCCACTGTCAAATTACCACCAAACTGTAAATTGTAATAATTAGAGCCTATTAGTTATTATCGCATTGTAAAGGCAATGTAGTAAATTGTGATTTGCATCCAAAATATTGATGACAAATTGTCAATAATATGAAAGAAAAAGAACACCAAATAGGCTATTTTTTGAATTTACTAGTATTGTTGAACCAAAGCAGAAGAGAATCATCTCAAAGGATGCCTATTATTTGGTTTATTTTATTTTGATAAAACAATAATTGTTATCATAAAAAAAAAAGACTAAAAGCACAGAAAAAACAATCTTGAGAAGGAGCAGGGGAATAAAACAATATTTAAGATTAAATTCTTGTGGTTTAAAAGAATGATAAATAACAAAACTGCTCGTAGAAAAGTACAACATTATAGGAATGTGTTGGATCTTACATTGTCAACTGAAGTCACATTGATAAATAAACTCTGGTTCGGAGAACATGTAAGCTCACAGAACAGATTGAAAAAGTTTCTTAAGCATGCTGGACAACCTACAAGAAAAGGAATTGCCTGCCATAATGTACAGTGTGTTAAAGGCATGTTAACAGAATTTCAAAATTAACTAGAAAGATGTAGACACGGCAAATCATGACTAGTCAGTATATTTATAGTAGTATCCATAATTACATAAAATCTTTGAAACCAAAGAGAGAGAGGCTGTGAGATCAACTCAAATCTTCAGCATGGTCAATATGGATATATAATTAAAATAAAAATGATAAAAGATTCACCTGTTGGACTTGCGTCCTTAATGTGTCAAACTGAGCTTCTGTACAACAAACATTCCCAGTAATTGTTGGACACAAACTTTGGATCTTTGATGAAAGCAAAGCATCTGGTTGGGGAAAGATAAGAGAGAATGTTCACTAGATCATGACAACCTTTAGAGCTTTAAAATTTTAATTGTTTAAACTAGAAGATGTGATACACCTTATAACAAATCAAAGTTCAACGTCACAAATCATATCCTAGAATAAAACTCTATATGCAAAAAAAGAGTTTCAGAAAATGAATCTTTTAGAAAGGAAAAGATATAGAGGCAAATTGACACTAAAATAATGATAAACTGATAAATACCTTAACGGCCGGGGAACCATATGGACAGTTCACTACTTTACCATCACTGCGCGTTCCACAAATTCCAGACATTGAACAATAATCCTCAGAATGTCTTTTCCTACATAGAACAAAATGGAAATAATTTTTTCTCTTCTTTAAGACCATAACAAGTACACGTTCAACCCTGTCCTGTGTCTACACTCAACTAAGATATAGAGGCTAGGGTTTTGGCAGAGAGGCCGTGGGCGAGGCGCAAGAGGACCATGGCGACGGCGTAGTCGGAGGGGAGGGAGAGGTTGGAGAGGGCGATGTGGGGCTTGAGCTTGTCGACGACCGTTGTGAAGACCGGGTAGGAGAGGCCGTAGAGGGAGCGCCAGTGGGCGTCGTGCAGGGGTGCCTCCAGCGACCATATGTGTTCTGTGGAGAGCCCGCGAGAGCGCACCAAATTTGGCTTCAGTCTTACGGTTAAATGCAAAACCCGATGTAGAATAATATTGTCGTTCGATTTTTATATCGGTAAGAAATAGAACTGATGTAGAATAGTTTACATTTTCAATTTACTTACAAAATTGTCTTACATCGTTTACAAAGGAACCGATGTAGATGTTACGATATAAAACAGTAATTTTATAGTAGTGGATGCATATAAGAGAAGCGAAATTATTGTTAATGATTTGGAAGATAACCGCCTTGAGAAGGTTGAAAGTTAGGTTGTTGTTGAGGGAATTGATTCTAAAACTAAAAATTGCCTTGAGCAACATAATTAAGATCAAAACGATGATAGCAATTGGTAGCTGTAACAGTAACGTTCCCAATAAATAATGAATAACAATGTCCTGTATTGTATTATGTATTGAGTATGGGTTTCTTACAATAAAGTATGAAAAAACTCTAAGACATATATCAGAATAGAGAAACAAATGGAAATAGCATAACAGAGAATGAAGAAATCCCAGAGACGGCCAGAGGAGGAGAAAGACAAATCATAAATTCCACACCCCTTATTACTTTTGTTTTCTTCTTTTATATTTACTTTAACTCCCAAACGTAATCCTTGAGCGCTGAGTTAGTTACTCTTTTCCTCTGACTTTTTCGGTTCACCATGATTTCAGCATTACCATCCACGTGTCCCACTCCCGTAACAGTATTCCCATGCATTTCATCAGTCATTTCTTCTGCACTCGTGACAGTAGCAATGTGACCAAATTTATTACATACTTGACATTGAACATTGCTATGAAGTATGAACACCATGGCCACCTCTTCGGCCAAAGCAACCTAGCTCGTTTACCATGGCCACCATGACCAAATTGAGTGCACACTTCAGGAGAGGTCGTCCTCACAACATATACATTTTCATTATCACTAGAAACAATTTCATTCTTATTTGATGTTTGGTAGTGCTCCATTAATATTCAGTTATTGCTTCGTATATGAGATAAACTGTTGACTTTTTCACAATTAATTTTCTCTCATACACAACAACAATTTCCACTTCGTTTCCAGGATCTATATTTGATAGCACTTTTTGCCACTTCTCATTGTCACAGAAGAGTAATGCATCTCTCTTGTAAACTTGAATGGTGGTCTTTGTGTGATTTATCAACAGTAAGTTTTTCAAGCCCGTTGATTTCATATCGTTTGGTGAAGAATAATGAACATGACATATCATTGTCTTCAAGTTACGCCCATTTACTTGAGGGACTTTAAAAATCACGGAAGAACCTTGACAGTCAAAAGTTAACCATTCTGGATAATTATCATCGGGAAGCACATAACTGCAATCACTGGTATTTTTATTCTGTAAAATGAAAATATGTATGCTTAACGCTTTTTTTGGTAATTGGATAAAAGAATATATGCTTGAAATTTTATTGAAAAATACATTAATAACCTTCACAATTAATTCAATACTTGAAGATATAAGAAGATTATAACTCTTATTCTCATCAATAAAAGTAATCTTTTGAGTACGGAAAGACTATAATGAATGAATATAGCTTGATAAAAATATTCTTGGTCCAACAAAAAAATTCCATACCTTGAAAAAAATGAAAATGTGAGAGAATATCTTTAATATAAAATTTGATTTTATATCCCGACAACCTATTTATAATAGAAACTCATAAGAAAACAATACTCAAGCAACACTCTTAAAAAAATATTTCTCTTTTGTCTAGTGTTCTATGTGAAAAAATTGAGATATGAAAATAAATAGAAATAAACAAGAAAAAAATGGAAAATAATGTGTTGCTAGGTTTCAAAAATTGAACCTAATAATATACAAATTCAGGGTTTTCCAATCATATGTTGTAACATGCTGCGTAATTGCTTATATGCTAAAAAAACAAAACCCTTCTAATTCTAATTGCTTATTTAGAATATAGTATATATATATATATATATACTTGAGGAGGGATCAAATGACTTTAAGAGTAACTCTTGCTTAAGTTACTTTATTCAATAATTCATGATCTATGTTGAATTTCAATAATTCGACCGTTAAATTAATTTATAAAATATTTTTTTATGATTATCTATCAGTTTGAATCAATAAAATGAAGTATAAAAAAATTTAAAATTTGTATACTTGGATCTATGCATTAAAAAGTTTTAAGTTAATGATTGGATCGTTGAAATTCAACATAAATCATGAGTTATTAAGTGGACTAACTTAAGCAAAAGTTACTCTTAGAGTCATTTGATCCCTCCTTTCTCTCCCGTTCTCTCTCTCTCTCTACATATACATACATATATATATATATATATATATATATAT